TAAAGTACAGAATAATTACCCATAAGGAGAAAGACTGAAAATGTAGGTAGAGTACAATTTAAAATTTCTCTTTTTAAAAAGACAGTAGGGGGGGGGGTAAACACATATCACAGAGTGGAGACACACGGCTCTAATTTCCATGAAAGTATGTGTGAAGAAACAGGAATAGTATTTTTCCAGAACAGGTGCTCAGCTTCAGATAACTACAAATTAAAACCATGACACATATCACCACAGTCATCCATCAGAAAAATATGAACTCTGAAAGTTTGATAATATCAAGTAACACAGAGGATTTGGAACTTTCACACACTAATCATGAGAATTTGAGTTGGCACCACTACTGTGAAAAACAATTTAATACAAGCTAATAAAATTAAAGATATGCATATCCCATGACCTGCAGTTCTACTTGTTGACATGCTTCGGCCCTTGGATACATGTGACAGAGTGCACATAGCAACACTGTTCCTAAATTCCTGACCTGGAAACCAACATCTAACACCATCTGAGCTTACAGCAGGTCACTGTGGTCTATTAACAAAAACCCAGCGAGAATAAATAAGCTATAACTACATTCAACACCATCACCGACTCTTACAGCCATAATGCAGTACAGAGGATTCAAATATGAAAGAACACATACTGTATTATTTCACTATCAAGTTTTTTTTTAAGTCAAACTGCATAATCAAGTGGCCAAAAATGTAAAGCAGAGTAAATAAAAGTCAGGCTAGTGGTTACTGCTCAAGGGGGCCATTGAGAAATGCAGGCAGCAGTTCCAGACAACGCGCTCAGAAAGTATCTGCTCAGCGGATTCCATAGTGAAGCTTAAGTTTTCAAACACCAAACATTCTTAAAAGGTATGAAAATCTGGCAACCTTAACCAGTTTCTGAATGGCAAGGGCAGCCATTGAGGTAGTGCTATTTGATGGCACATTTGTGGTTCTTGAAAGAACTCGCCAAAAAGTGTACTCAATGTGCTTCAAATCTAGGTAAGGGAAGGCAAACATCCAACAATACCAATCTCTTTCCTGTACTAAAACACAACCCATCCTAACATTTTCAAATTGAATGTAGTTAATTGGAGTTTTTACCAAATAGTCTAATTTATAGAAAAATGTTTATTTTTTGATTCAGGCTGTTTCAGTCACACTCACACTGGTCCAAGGACACAGAGTGACCCTGAGTTGTACCTCCACAGGTAACACATCCCAGCACCCAGCGGGCAACAGATGTTCATCCAAGGAGCTAACAACCATCGTTAAAATACAACTGCTGGGCCTAGCGTGGTGGCCTAGTGGCTGAAGTCCTCACCTTGAACGCACCAAGATCCCATAATGAGGCCGGTTCTAATCCTGGCAGCCCCGCTTTCCATCCAGTCCCCTGCTTGTGGCCTGGGAAAGCAGCCCAACGCCTTGGGACCCTGCACTCCTGTGGGAGCTCCTGGCTCCTGAACTCAGATCAGCTCAGCTCTAGTCACTTGGGGAGTGAATCATCAGATGGAAGATCTTTCTATCTCTCCTCCTCTCTGTATATCTTACTTTCTAATAAAAACAAAACTTAAAAAGAAAAAAATACAACTGCTGCAGAATTTCCACAAGGATACTGTAAGGCAGAAACACATTTTTTAACGTGTATCATGTCACTAACTTTTACAGAGAAATTTTCACTTCTAATGTGTGTTCAAGCCATATACAAACCAAAAATCAACTTCTGTCTTGCTGCCCGATGGCCAACACATCATGCGGGAATTGAGGGTGACAGGTATATGCAATTAGATTTAGCCTGCTAAGAGCTAAATAATGAAAATAATCCTTACACATCTTTTTACCTCGTTTGTGTTACTGCCGATTCAGGGGCTTCCTTGCACTCTCACACCTGTCACTGTTTCTTAATGGCCTGTTCTGTTCAGAGGAAGACATTCTCTGGACTTGAATCGCACAGGCTGACTCCAGAATCTCGTCTACCCCCCACTTTCTCTGCTTAATGTCTTAAAAGAGCAAATGGAGTTGATCGACTCCACTTCCTCCATGCCCCCATTACTCAGTCTGTTTCTACCTCTGAGAGAGAGAGAAGAAAGGGGAAAAACTTCGCTCCTTGTTGCTGAGCCCAGTGGGTGCTTCCTGCTCTGCAGCTACCCTGTCCCGCACGGTGCCCATGCGTGGCTGCTGAGCACTTTCTAAGCTTTTAAAATAAAGCCAGAGTTGGTTACAAGCTTCATTGGGAAAATGTAGATATGTGTATCTATCTTTTCAACCATAAATTTTACTAAAATATGGAAAATTGATTGTCTGAATTAAGACATACCATGTGATATATGTATAAAAAACACTGAATTTCAAATACAGATTTTGAAAAAAGATGATCAACTAGTCTTGTTGATAGTTTTTATGCTAACTATGTGTTAGAACAATGGTATTTTGAATCAACAGGATTAAATAAAATTTCTTCTTAGAGCTAATTCTACCTAGTTATGTTGCTACAGTAGCTTCTAGGAAAGTCAGCATTGCTTACAGAGCACACACTTTATTTCTGTGGGACGGTGCCCCTGTGCAGCATTAGATGCAAATGACTGCTCACTGTTCACAAAACACCAGTACTTTTCTCCTTCTGCTTCCTTGACTCCCTTTATTCTGTCTCCTGGGGCTCCTGATTCCTTGAGTGGGATCTCACCCTGCCCGACTCCCAGGGGCCAGGTGCTCCCATCCCTCCGCCAGCAAACCAACTGCCCCTTCGGAGGACAATCCTCCATACACGTCGACCCAACCTAACACACACAGCTCGCGTAATTGACTTCACATCTTCAGTATCTGCCCCACTGACGTCCCATAAACCTGGTCCCTTTTGTCCAGGTCATTGAGACCTTCATCACACCGCAACAGCCTCCAAAGAGCTCTGTTTCTGGAACTCACTCCTGATAGCTCTCCCAGTCCCTTTAAACTCTTTTAAAAATCACATGTAGGCTTGTGTCCCTCTCTGTCCTCAGCAGCCTCACAGCAGCCCAAGCTCCAGGCACACCTGCAGAACCGTGCCACCAAAAGAAAGCATTCCCTTCTCGTCACTGCACTTTGCACATTCTCCTTCTGACAGGAATATCCTCCATGAGTTTACCCCTAGTCATCCTTCAGAACTAAGCCCATCTGTTGTCTCCCCTGGCAAAGGGCTCTAAGACCCCATATTACAACAAGTGTCCCCAAGCACACAGGCCTACAGGGATCTGGCTAGCAGGTTATGGATGCCCTGCAGGCAGGAACTGAATATTTTAACTTAACCTTTCTGCATTATATTGATTTTTTTTTAAGATTTATTTTTATTATTTTTTCATTGGAAAGGCGGATATACAGAGAGGAGAGACAGAGAGGAAGATCTTCCGTCCAATGATTCACTCCCCAAGTGAGCGCAACGGTTGATGCCGATCTGAAGCCAGGAGCCTCTTCCGGGTCTCCCACGCGGGTGCAGGGTCCCAAAGCTTTGGGCCGTCCTCCACTGCTTTCCGAGGCCACAGGCAGGGAGCTGGAAGGGAAGCGGGGCTGCCGGGATTAGAACCGGCGCCCATATGGGATCCCGGGCGTGCAAGGTGAGGACCTTAACCACTTGCGCCACCGTGCCGGGCCCTCTGCATTATATTTAAGTGCCTATTAATAAGCAGACACGGTATTAAATAAGGAAAAAAAATCACGGAATAAAATGTAAGGCTAGAAATTTAAAAGTAGGCTAATAAAGGGACAAGTGATATGAAGTTAACTCAGTCACCCTGAAAACACTTTATTGAATGGCCCATTTTAGGATTCAATGAGCGAGCCAAGACAAAATTATAAATTAAATAATCATTAAAACATCAAATATTCAACAAAAACAATTAAGAAAATTAAAGCTTGAATATGTCATTATATGCTTAGTCTTGTTAATATACGCATAGCCTTCTTCCCCTAATTCTACTTGTCCTTTTCTTCCTTCAGATCTTACATTAATTTTCCTTACAGTTAAACTGCGTTATTCTCTTCCCTCACCCAACCCTTTTCACGTAACATCTACAAGGACATCTCTACTGTCCCTTCTGTTCTCTTTCTCAATCGAACAGAGAAATACAAACACAGTCTTTGTCCTCTCTGTTAGAAATTCTGCCTCAAATAAAGAATTATAAAAAAAAAAAAAAAAGCAGTGAATTCAATGATACCAACAGTCAAGCTGATAGACAAAACCATCTGCGTTCATCTGTCTGGGCGATTTCACAACAGCGAGCGGCTAATCTGAACCATATGCACACTTGGTGGAGGCTGACATGCATCAGCAAGTCCCTGATCGCTGCAGCAGGACAGGGGGGAGTTAACAGAGCAGCCAGCGTGCTGGTGCTGAGCGGAGCCACAGCCCAGCCTTCCCTGCTCTGCATCTCCAGGCTGCCCTTGGAGAGGAGGTAGAGGGGCCCAGGGCCGGGCAGGAAGCTGTCAGCCAGCTGGACAGGCTCCAGAGGTGATCCATTAAGCAATGTGAGCAGCAGGCACCGAGCAGCCCCAGATCGCAGTCTGTGAGCATTCAGGCCCAGTTACCAAGTGCAGAAAACAGGGCTGCTCCCTGGGCACCTCCGGATTTTAATTTCATGGCAGAACAGGCTTGAAGAGAGGCAGAGGAGTTACACAGGTATTTAAACTATGTTGGTAGGGAAAATTATTCTTTGAAGAATAACAACTGCTAAAAAAGAAATGGAGTACATTCTTTTAATTACCTGCAAGTTGCTTTCAAAATCCCTCAAGATGAGGTTTTATAGGCGTGAGGAAGGAAGTTCACCCTGAACAGATGGTTATCTCTTAGATTTCACAACAGAGCAAAACTGAAGTTTCGTGAATGACTTTATACCCAGCAAGACGAGGCAATAGTGAGGAATACATTCAGGAAGATTCCAAAGCATCACGGAACCAGACCATAAAACTTTAAAAACTTAAAAATGGCACCTTGGACAGCCCATTAACGGACAGCTGAGAGAAGAGTTGCTCGCTTACCCACGTCCAGGAGTTCAGTTTAGACTCTCCAGAATCCCGTGGTTCTTTGTTAATCAAACAACATAAGCACCATATTAGAACTTTTTGGCTTTCATCTATTAAAAAAAAAATACAGGAAAACAAAAATCAGTAAGTTTCATCAGATATGAAAAAAAAAAAAGGAATCTGTATAAAAATTTTTAAAACATTGTTTGAGAAACTCTCAAACTTCTAAGTTCACAGAACAAGCACACAGAAGCGTATGTGAAACTGAACTTTGTGGTTTTTTTGTCTTCTTGTGGGTTTGGGATCACTTAATGCCAGGCTCTTGTGTGGTCTATTCCCTTTCTGTAACAGCAGCAACTTTTAAAGCCAAATGAGAATGATGGAAAGAATTGAAAAAAACCGGGATTTTCTCAAGGTCAGTTTTTTATTTCACATTTCGAACCATTAATCATTTCTAACTTTTTAAGGCAACATAACCTGCAAACAGCAGGCAGTGGTTAATATTTCTGATTTAATTTTTACGTTTTCTAATTTTCCAAAGTATCTTCACTCGTTACAAATTTAGTGAAAAGTATTATTTAAAAATGTTTCCTGCTTAGTTCCAAATAATCAGGATAAAGAGAACCCTTGCACAAGCTCCTACTTTGTTATTTTAAAATTCAAAATGTTATTAAATATGTGATGAAAATGCTGAACTTTGAAACCTTATATCTGGCAGGGAATTCACATCCTGATCCACTGTTCTTTTTCCTTCTGCGGTGACTGAGCCCGTTTCAGTTGGGAATTTTATGACACAATTAAGAAAAAAATGCAATCTAAGAACTGGCAATGCCAGTACCTGAGCCAGAGGACAGGGTTACCAGGGTTATCAGATGCCCGCCAGGCCCTGCGGCGGAGGCTGAGATGCCCCCTGCAAGCAGCTCTCTGAAGACCCACCCACTCTAGCTGCCCTTCTCCTGCCAGCGAGTAACGTGGTATCCCTAGTAGCTCCTTTATCAAGGACAGACAATACAAACTCTGATTTCCTCCCCATAAACCAATAGATGCTAACTAATTTTTAATCCCATTTCCCCCTCCTTCCATAAACATGCATAAGCTTAAACTTCCCAAGTGACTTCTCCAAACAGCCGGCTTCCAACAGGAAACCGAAATATTACAGGCAGTTCAAAAGGTAGCACAAGCATTCAAACAAAGGGCTGGAAATTTTGTATTTGGTTGTTAGAAGAGGCCAGTGTCAGATAAAATGCTAAAAAAAAGATCCCAGATGGATGTGAGTTTAGGGCTACAAGTCCAGGCTCTCAGTTTCACAAAGCGATCTGAGACCTCAGTGGGTACGGTCCCTAAGACACCCTGACTCGGGCTCTCCTGGGAAGTGCTCTTTGCTCAGTGCTTCCTCACAAGAAGCATCTCAATCCTTCCTTTCCATCCCTGACAGCAGAAATGGTGAGCCACGTTTTCCTTGTGCTGGAGTACCAAAGCACACGTGTACAGTATCTGCTGGGAAAATCCATCTGTTTCTGCAAAGCTGGCTAGTGGAGGCCCTGGGCCTGAGGACTTGAGCCACACACGACACACACCACAGTGGAGGCAGAACATCACAAGGTGGGTTTCCAGGTCAGCCAAGGAGCGGGACTGGGACTCCGCTTAGTTTTGTGCTCACACTTGTTCACTGTAACCCATCACTTCATATCATGCTAAAACTCTTGTCAATTAGATCTAGCTTGTAGTCCACAGACAGCAGTGCCCAATGCAAACGAGCAATGCCCCTCTGCAATATAAACTTTGCCACATTTTAACACTTTTGAATTGAAGGTGTATCGAAACTCATCAAGTACACTTAAAGGAAACAGTGTTTTCTTTTCTTCTAAAAACCAGCTAGTAAGGGTCAGCACAGTAGTCTAGAAGCTAAGGTCCTTGCCTTGCATGAGCCAGGATCCCATATGGGCGTCAGGATTAGAACCAGTGCCCCCACTTCCCATCCAGCTCCCTGCTTGTGCGTTGGGAACGCAGATGAGGATGGCCCAAAACCTTGGAACCCTGCACCCACATGGGAGACCTGGAAGAGGCTCTTGGCTCCTTGATTCCGCTCAGCTCAACTCCAGCCGCTGTGGCCACTCAGGAAGTGAATCAGCACACACAAGATCTTTCTGCCTCTCCTTCTCTCTGTGAATCTGCCCTTTTAATAAAAATAAATAAATCTTTTTAAAACTAGCATAGTGGATATGGATTGCACATAAAGATAAGTACTGCTTCTTACAATATGTTCGGTCATCTGTGTGTGTACAAATGTATAAATATGAATATTTCATATACAAGTATAGATCTACATACACCTACTATATTTTCTATTAAAGATGTTTGAGACATACTGGTTTAGTTGCAAAATATAGACTTTGGCAGACAAGTGTGGCCCGTACAGGTAATCACAGTAGCAGCTCACTGGTTTCACCATTTTAGATGAAGAGCATGAACAAGACAAGACGGAGGGAATAGACAAAGAGGCCAGGTGGGAAAGAGAGGAGGCAGAGAGGGGAAAGGATGGCATAAAGGAAGCTGGGCACGCAGTGTCCCCGTGCACTTGTGCTAAGGAGGGCAGCACCTCCTGCCAAATTTTCTCCCCTTATTTATGAATGATTGATTGGTCTGGAAGACAGACCGAGAGAAGGACAGCTAGGGCGGTACCAGGCTAAAGCCAGGAGCTGCAAGCCCCACGCAGGTCTTCCATACAAATGGCATGAACCCCAGGACCTGAGCATCGCCTGCTGCCTCTCTGAGTCTGCACTGGCACGAACCTGGGATGGAGATCAGATGCAGGGCTTGAGACAGGCAGCCCCACAGGGCATGCGGGCATCCCAAGCAGCATCTTGGCTCCCATGCCAAATGCCTGACCCAGTTCAAATCTCCTGTAATGACTTATGACAGGTTAGGAAAAGGAAACTGTATAAGTCTTTGAAACATCAAAGGGACATATTCATTTTCTTGATTTTAATGTCATTATATTACGCAATTAGTCTTTGACTTAAAAAATCTGAAAAGTAAACATCAACTAATTAGTGAATGTACAGCAACAGACCTCAATTGTGCTGCCCGAGATGTGCCTGGTCTCCCCATGCCAGGCCCCAGGCAAAGGGAAAACCACAGGCTCTGCTAGAGAGCAGAGGAAGCATCACCACAAAGGCAGGCTCACCTAGGCTGTTTCAAAAGCCTAAAGATGACAGAGGGGAAAAGAGGCCAAACCGCAAGCCTTCCCCCACCCTCCAGGCCAACTGCTCTCAGGAGTCATCAGGAAAATGACCCATCTCCCATGCAGGCAGTGTAGCTGTGGAAAAACAAGCAGAACTGGGGTGTAGCTGGCCTACAGGCAGGAGACAGAACACCTCCTCCACAGTGTTCCCAAACCAGAACGTCACCTCTAAAAAAAACGGCAGAGCCTTGGCACAATCTGGACTCTGAAGAATGATTTTACAACATGGAAAATAGTATAGCAGTTAGCATGAACTGTGAAGCAAAGAAACGGAATCACTGTCTTAGTCTAACTACTTTTTAAGTACTGATTAATTGTATTTGAAAGGCAGAGTTACGGAGAGAGAGAGAGAAAGAGAGTGAGAAAGAGAGAGAGAGAGAAACACACAGAAATCTGCTGGCTCACTCCCCATATGACCATATGACCACGATGGGCAGAACCAGGCAAGTCCAACGCAAAGAGCCAGAAGTCTCCTCTGACTCTCCCACATGGGTTTAGGGGCCCAGTGTGGAGCCATCATCTGCTCTTTCCCAGGCATATTAGCACGAACGTAGATTGGAAGTAGGGGAGCTAGGACTCAAATCACTGCCCACAAAGGATACTGACACTCCAGGTGGCAGCCTTACTCACTATGCTACAACATCAGTCCCAGGAGAACCACTCTACAGTAAGTTGAAAATGAAGTTATGAGAGCTGGCACCATGGCATAGTAGGCTAAGCTTCCACCTGTGCATGCTGCACTTCTGATCCAGCTTCCTGCTATGGCCTGGCAAAGAAGCAACGGATGACTCAAGTCCCTGGGTCCTTGCACCCATGTGGGAGAGTCAGAAGAGGCTCCTGGCTCCTGGCATCAGACCAGCTCAGCTCTGGCTGATGTGGTCATTTGGGGAGTGAATCAGCAGATTGTCTTTCCTCCTTTCTCCCTGTAATTCTTTTTCTGTCTTTCTCTCTGTAACTCTGCCTTTCAAATAAACATTTTTAACAAATAAATAGATCCTTTATTTAAAAAAAAAAAAGGCTTGTTTTGAATTTTGAAATGATATGCCTTGGATTCTTACCAAAAGCTAAGATGAAAGGATTGTAGCAAGCTTTTGTCAATAGTTGGCCAATTGTGGGGAATCTTGTCATAACTGTATTAGAATCCTGTAAAAGAAAATTATGCTTTGGTCAGAAAAAGAGTACAATGCAACTCAGAATGCTTAAACTATAGCTCGAGGGAGCTTGAATGCCTCTAGTTCAACATATATTTTTAGAAAACTAAGCAAAACAGAATCAGAGATCTTTAGACAAGTCATTCAAATTAAGTTTACCAAGTCAGCCACCACCTTGTTTCAAAACAAGGTTACAAAATTTTATTTCATTTTATCTAAAAACAATATGGACTGTAGAGAGTAAAAAATAAAACTACTGATGATTCGTAATCATGGATAATGCAATCCCAGGTCTTCATTTTGGCTTTCTTGTTCTAACGTAGGAAAAATCCCTAACTCAAGCCCCAGTAAGGCTATTTCAAAGAAGTTTAAAAGGGCAAGAACTCTGGAACTTGTAAAAAGAAATAAAGGCTGCCAAAGCATAAAGATATATATCTCTGTTTATTACTATTTTGATTGCTATATGCTAAATGACATCATACTCAATCTACAATAACCTAAACCTTGAGACAAGCAACGATCAACCAAATGGAAAACAGCTTAAGATTAAAACATACACAAGCTCTTGTACAATTGGCCCCTTTCCCACTGCTTTACCTTTCATGCAAGTTCAAAAATAAGTCCAAACTGAGATAATGTGCAGGTAAGCTGAGACGATAAGCATTTCCTGCCGTGGCAGCAGGGAATGCCTCACGTCGGTGTCAGCGTCAAGGCTGGCTCGAGACCTTCTGGGACCATCTGAAGGTCAAGTTACGTAAGTCATTATAGAAAAGGTTTTCAAAATTAGCACTGGATGTTCACACAAACTTATTTTTTCCTTTTCATTTGTAAAGCATGTAAATGCATATTACCAACTTGAATTAGTCTTCAAATTTCCTATTGCTTCTTTGATGAAAGGGGCAGAAGCATAAGAGACTTAGGTTAAATGAATTTTGCTTTTCAGGTTGAAATTTTAAAATAAATATAAAATTTCAAAATATGAAACATGGGATATGTAGTAAAAATAGCTATCAAAATAAATGTTATGCTTCGAAAACAATTTTCTAAAATGAAGGAATGATTCCTTGAAATATTTATAGGAAGAGATTTGTAGTATTTATCTCTTAGGAAAGCCCATTTGAGAAAAGGGTTGAGAACAGAATAAATGTTTCAGAAAATATGTTAAGATTTGAGGAACAGAAAAATGTTTCAGGAAATGTGTTAAGATTTGGAATTTAAAAGAATCCCAGAGCAAGCATCTATCCTAGGGGTAAAGATGCACTCCACCCACCATGCAGCTCAAGAATTTGAGTCCCAGTTCCAGAGCCTGACACCAGCTCCCACCAACACAGATCCTCGGAGCTAGCTAGTAACAGCTCAAGTAACTGGGTTCCTGCCAACCACGGAGACCCAAACAGCATTCACAGCTCTGGGCTTTGACCCTAACCCAGCCCTAGCCGCTAGAAGCATTGGGGGACTGATTCAACAGAGGGAAGTACTCTCTCTCTCTGCCCTCAAATAAATAAACAAACAAAATAAACAAACAGACTAAAATGAAGGGGGGAGTCTATTTTTTACCTAGCAACAAGTGCCAGAGTCTTGTCTTCTTTAAGAACAAAGACCTGTAACTATACAGCTAGTCAAGAAGGAAATACTGAAGTAAGAGACCAGCTCTCACTTGCTCTCACCTAGAGGTCACCTGTGTTTCTAATCCATCCAAATCTTAACACATTTCCTGAAACCTTTTTCTGTCCCTCATCTGGTTAACACCATGAGACCCTGACCCTAGCGGCACTCTGCTGGCCCAGTCTGGTGGAGTCTCTGACACCAGATGATCATTTCCTTCTTTTGATTCACTGCTTACCATCTCTGCCAAGGCTTCATACATCTTCCTCAGGAATTCCTGGAAACGAGACAGATGAAGACAGATATCCTGCTGGGTCTCCCAAGTGGAGGCTTGGTCCCATTCCGAAAGCTTCTGCATCCAAAACTGGTAGTCAGATGCCAGGCTTCCAGATTGCTGGGCCATCTCAGCAAAGGTGGGAAGCTGACGTCCTTCAGGGACTCAAGGGGAGCAGACACCCAAGCTGTAAGGAAGGGAACAGAGCAAGCATTTTTAAAAGGGTCTTTTCTCAATGTTTTTGTGACCCAATGATGGTGTCAAGTGGGGGATCACCAGAGATGAAAATAGCATGCCTTCTCTGCTTGAGCCATCTTCAAATTACTTGAAAATGTGTCACCCAGCTGTAGCCCCAATTTTTACCATCTGAACTTTCTGTCATGAGAAATATCATTAGACTAGAGGTCATTATACCTCCCCAGGCACATGTTAATTATGTACAAAAGCACAGCTGATAATACTTTATATCTTCTTTTTAAGATTGGGCTATTTATAAATGTTCTGAAAATGAAGTTCCCTTGAGTATTTTAATGTAATGAGAAATCAAAAACATCCATGGGTGTTTAATAGTAGTCTGTGCCTATGAAATGTTTTTGAAGTTATTATGTTTTATATGCATTGCTGGCTTCTCATTTAGGTGCAAAAAAGTCTCTATGAATTACTGTCTTGTGAATTTTCTTCCCAATTTCTCTTCATTTCTTAGAAAAGGAGTAAAATAATGCATTCCACATGCAACAATTTAAACAATCTGCTTGAAGACTGTTTTAAACTAGTGATTTCAACTCATTCACTAGAGATGGTGTATTTCAGCAAAATACAATAAATTCCCATTATCAAGGAGGAATACTAGTCCTAAGTGAGAGAATATACAATTTCCTAAGCTTCACTTCCCAGTCTAGAAGTCCTTGATAAAAAGAAGAACGAAATTCCCACTGTGAGCATATGTAACATGCAGAGAAGGGTCTCCCCACCAGGCCGGACCCGTGCATCTAAGCTGGGGAAACCAGGAGGCCATGGAACAGAGAGCTATTTCTCCACAGGTACAAACTACAAGCAGCCTCACTCGGCCTGCTGCAGGGAGCACACACAGCCTTCTCATTCCAAAACTCTGTCCCAATCATTGTCAGTCGAGCAACCCTAGATCCTCAGCAGCAACAGTGAACAGATAAAACGCTCCAATTAAATACCAAAAGCATCAGCAAAAAAACGCTCCCATCACCAAACAGGGAAATGTGGAAACATTACAGAAGACGTACAATTCGGCTACAGTGCAAAAGAAAAAAAATAGAGACTGAATTTTTAAAACAGTACTTAACAATTCAGTTTTGAGAATGAGTATGTCAAAACGAAAAGGTCTCGCAGAAGAAATCCATGATACTATCCAACAGCAATAAACAGCCAAACACCTGAGCGTCGGTTCTGACTCCTCCCTTAGATTCCTCTCATCATCCAAGCCATCACCAATACCATCAATGCTACCTGTGAAACACAGGTGCTCTATCTGCCTTGATGACAGGCACTGTGCCCACCTCACCGAGCCCCAGCCCTGTTTCCCAGAGCAGCTCCCAGAGGTGTTAGCCCCCACCTCTCCTCTATGAGGTCTCTCTCTGGCGTAAGGTCTCTCAACAGCTTTCTTGGAAAGAAATCCAAACCCCCCCTTAGAAAAAAAAAACACAACTCTTAAGGACCCACAAAACGTGCTCTGGACCCTCTGAACCCCTGCTTCTTCTCCTGAGCTCAGGCCCAGCCTCCGAGCTCCACTGAAGCCTCCTGTCCTCTTAGCTGAGGCCTCTGAGCTCCACTGAACCCTCCCTGGCTGTCTTCCAGGCCTTTCCACCGATTCCTTCACAGGCCCTTACCACAGCAGTAATTACTTTGGGCCTTTATTTGTTCACTTAGTTACTGCTTCCTCTGCTGGTATGTAAATTCCCTGTCTTCCTGGAACTTAGCACATACCTGGCAAACACTCAATAAATATTGAATGAAAGAATGAATTATTCACTGGTATTTTGCAAAGGACGCTTCCAAACTAAACGCCACTGCAAAATGCTTCTTCAGATTAAAAAAAGAAAAGTTCAAAATTTAAAAAGTAATTCCACCCAAGAGACAAATTTTGAAGTTTGTGTGAAATATAATTATTAATATCCCATTTTATACAGTAACAATTCACAAATGTTTCTTTGCAACATATTAAATACTTTATGCATATTTATTCATTTAAACAATTCTATAAAGTGGGTACTATTACTAGCCCCATTTTATAGACAGAAGTATGCAATTGCCCAAAGTGAAATTATGTAAAAACTCAAAGTAATGATAAGCATTGAATCCAATGTTTGGTTCTAACATCTTTGCCCTTAAAGAAATTGACTCAAGCAATAAATCAATGGATTTCTGGTGTATTTTATATGGCATCAGTGGCAGATCAATTTAGGTATTTGGGAATAAGAAACAAAAGAACTTTATAATCAAAGGGATTGGAAACATTTTAACAACACTGCAAACAATCTTGAGCTAAGCAATGGAAATACAACTGGCTATTCTAAAAGCAACAGCTTTATGGATCAAGCAAAGTTCTGTCTCATAGCTTGCTGGTTCGTGGGCAGTGCAGTGTCAACACAGGGGTGCCTCGGTTGTAATGGGAGCAGGTGGCATGCTGAACAGCACACTGTGGGGCATCTGCACAACTGCCCACTTAGACAAACAGCCTCCCCAAAGCCCAGTGACATCCCTACTAGGATACAGTGACCTGAAAGGCACACTTCGGAATGGGCTTCGCTTGCTTTTGTTGTTCAGCATTCCTTTTCCCTCTCCTTCACAGAAGTACTTTCCCTCCGTTTACTGAGGTCTTGGAACAGTGGGGAACAGGGGTGGGTGGAGTCTTTAAGTCAAGGCACACAGTACCATCATCCACAGGGTGAGATGATTCACTGAGCCAACTCAGGCTAGACTGGAAATCTGACTCTTCAGTAAGGGTGGACCAAGATATGCAAAGGCTCTTTTAGCGTAGATTCCTCAAGCTACTACTCCTGTTCATGTCTTTATATATAAAGCAGGTGCTTTCTCTAACACTTTATCTGCTGCCTTCTGCTTACTCACAAATTTTCTAACATGGTTGCAGGTCCCTAAGTGACAGTTTGATGCAGCAACACGCTTTTGAAGGAGCGCTGTTTTGTCTGTTAGTTGCCAAGGGGCCCATGAAGCAAAAATCCAAGGACAGCTAGGGCACACATGGACTCATCCTCGAGCTCTCACCAACTGGACTAGTTTCTGTCAACCCTCTGATGACGACTAGGGCTAAAATCATGGCAACAGAACCAGATGAAGGATGGCAGTGCATTACAGTGAGAAGACAAATATAGAAAATTATATCAGTCCATTTATCCCATCAGATAGTTGACTCCTCAAGCTTCTGCCATGCACAGACCAGTCAGCTTCCATTTTCATGATAATCATGAAAGCAGGGGTGCTGTTCTTGGGGGTCTCTCAGCGTGAAGCTAGTTTATTCTGGATATTTAATTGGCACAGCACAGCAGGATCAGGGATATGATCCCAGTCATGGGAGACTGGTTTCATTTCACTGTGATGGATTCAAGGCACCACCTCGGTACCTTAGCTGAAGTAGGAGTGACAAAGCCACCGAGAACATACCTCTCCACAGGGATTTAAGGGCTAAACAGTCAGTCCACTCTTTCACTCACATTGCATCTCTGGGCCCAAGGGAAGGGTGCCTGTGGTTAAGTTCACCATAGCCATTGCCTAACCTCACAATTGATGGAAGATAGGGTCAAGCAAAGGGCTTGCCCAGATCAAGCCAGGTTACATGTATGCCCAGACCAGGCCGGCATGTGTGACTCATGTCTGGGAGTGGACCAGGCTGGGCCAGTTCACAACACCCATTCTGAGAACCAGGATGGGATACAGGACAGGACAGGTTGGACTGAAACATCAGCCAGTCCACATTAGTGCTGTTAGGACTGGGACTGAGGGTTGGCTGAGCTGGGATCGGCTGCAGCACCTGCTGGCGAATGCTAAAGTGAAGCAGGCCATGCCAGACTGGGCTGCAACAACCACTAGCACATATAAGACTGGATGGGTGGGTGGGAGGCGGGGGAGAATTCCCCTGCTGGGCCACTGCTCCCACTGGTAAGAACGAGAACTGGGATTGGGAGCAGACCAAGCTAGGCAGGGCTACAATGCCCATTGACTTGCATGTGAGCTGTTTAGGGAGAAAGCCAGTGGATAATCAACTGTATCCATTGGTGCATGCATGAGCAGAGTAAGTGCAGGCTGGTTGGCCTTTACCACAGCATCAGCATCTATTCTGCACAGACTGCAGCAAGCAGAGTCGCCCTTCATTCCGATTTCTGGTTCTGCTGGCAGGAATTTAGATCTTGATTGATGAACAATCTGGTAGCAACCTCCAATGGCTGGCTGGTATTCATTCTAGCAAAAGCCTTCCAATCTTGTAACTTACACCTGAAGTCTCCCTTTGACTGCTCAATGAAAGCAACATTGCTCATCTGTGGAGCTTCTGCTGCCTCCAGGGTGAAGAGGATGTAGAGATGGAAGGTTTCACTTGGGCTCTGCAGGTTCTTAGAGTGCTGGTGAGGCTTTGCTTATATTTGTGGTCATTTTCTCCTCTGCCTTCATACCGCTTAAAAGGGCCTCTTGGTAATGCTTGAGCATCTGAAATGCACAGCCACCTTTAAAATTCCACTGGAGCTCCTCTTCTCAGAACTGGATTTGAGTGTAAGCCTGGACATTTAGAGCTCCTGCATGTCTTCCAACAAAACCATATATATTTTTTTTAATTTCTTCTCTTAACTTAGTAGTGTTCCTTGGTGTTAAACAGGGTCAGAAAGCGCTAGTAGTGATTGGCCCAAGTGGGCTCATGGGTTCTGATGGTGGATTGCATTCAATCAAACATGGCCTGGGGTTTCTCACTGAAGGATGGAGTTTTTACTTCAGGGAAGTACCCCCTGAAGTCAAAGCTGCAGTCCCTCCTACAGGTACAGGAAATGCAGGTACCGGCAGATGCTATGGCAGCTTTTAGGTAGCTTCTCAGATAAAATGGGCTTTTCAGATCGTGCCCAGCATTTTGAAGTGACGATCATTCAAGTAACCATTTTAAATTTTCTTCAAGTTTTTAGCCAGGATGATGAGAGAGGACTCTGTCTTAACAAC